AGAAGTGAGTATTAAACCCTAAATTAATTACTAATTTTTATATTAAAAAATTTATGTAATAAACATGTAAATTCATTATCACATTAATGTTAGGGCCTTCAATCAAAATTTGAAAACTAATAAGGTGTGACAACCCGTCCCAAATTCTACATTTTTATTAATTTTAAAAGCGTGATTTTACGAAAATGTCCTTAGAGGCGGGAGTATTGACTTTCGTGAACAGCGTATAGTGAGGTGTACAAATTAATCCTTTAGATTTTTCCTGAAGTACTCGACATTACGGACTTATAGGCGCAAGCAGAAGAGGATTTGGGGTTACGGTTAAAGTTTTACGAAACTGTAAACTCGAGAAGTACTTTGGTTTCAGTCACTATTTATATTTTTATATATTTTTATAATGTTGATATTATTTATCAATTAATTATTTTAAAGAGGAAGAGGAAGAAGAGGAAGAGAAAGAAGAGGAAGAGGAAAAACGAAAAAAAAAAAGAAAAAAGAAAGAAGAATGGCTACTGCCCAATCAGGAAGAAGAGTGAGGTAGGGGACCAACTAGAGAAAAAGTAAGGAGGGAAAGGAGAGAAGGTAGGGAAGGAAAATGGCAACCAAACCCATGTGACCCGGTTATAATCGGAGGATTTCTACGGCAAAATCCATGGTTTTTCCGATGAATTGGACCAAGGTACCACTTCCAAACACTATCTAGCCCTTCCCTCTTCCTTTTGTCATCTCAATTTAGAAGAAATTGTTGTAAACGGGGGAGGAACCGTCGGTGGGTGCGACGGATTCGTGCAAGAAATCCCAAAATCATGAAGCTATTCCCACCAATTACCATCACCACTAGACTCCTTATGAGGTCTAGATCAAATCCCAGTCAGTTGTAGGGTGGGCGGGGTACCGGAGATGGCGAATCAAGAAGCACCCAAACTTAGGGTTCTGACGGGTTTTAGTAAAATTGGGATTTTTCTAGGCCAAATCGGCCTTAGTCACAGGTATGAAAGTTACTCCACTCACTGAGATCGTCATTTCTGCAAAATTGGTAATTTTTAGAAGTAGTTGAATTTTCCGGCGAGTTGGGGCGGCCGACCGCCACCCACAACGACGCGTGCGGCGGCGTGTGACCAGTAGGCCACCAATGTAATTTTTAGGCTATGTTAAATGTCTTGAATTCAGTTTTGATATTTGAATGACGTAGGTTGATTGCTGGAACCTAAATTCTCTACAATACGTTATTAGGTATTCAGGTGAATCGACAATCCGACCGTTGGATCGTCACCAAACTTTGTTACATTGTAGTACGTAAAATTTGAAGAATGTAGGAACTTACAGATTGGGAATCCAACGTACGGATCTTCCCGACTTGGATTTGTAAGTTCATAAAATAAAACGTTAACCACTAATCAGTTTTGGAAATTGGCGGAGATCCAACCGTTGGATCGTAATGAAATTTAAGTATGTTGTTCTAGAAGTCATGAGAAGTTACGGATTGGAAATCTGAGATGCAGATCTTCCGGATCGAGTTTTGCAGGGTTGTGGACCCAACCGTCAATCGAATGTCAATAGGTCTCAAATTATTCTAGAAGGTCCTTAAGGATATGTTTTATGTAAATTATGTATTCTATCGGTAAGAACTTTGAGACGTGATTTGACAATTGGTCATAGGCGATGATAGTTCGTGATGTCTCCATATTTGTGCGAGGGACTCGTAGTGCGGACCTAAGGCGTAGGTATTTTCCCTTCTATTATATATATATATATATAAGCTTGATATCTCCACAAACGTTTATAAATTAAATATTCATATAATTTCTGTGAATGCTTTGGAAGACTAATGCGAACTACGAATGGCTTAATCCCTGTTTAGGGTACATAGGCAGTCTAAAGAGACGTTAGATGTAGCCATATAATAAATGGGACTAAATAATTGAGACAATAGCCTTGTTTGGGGAATTGAACAATGCAAAGGATATTAGTGAAAAATGTGAGATCTAACCTTGCGAGTTGGTGGATAAATGTTGGTCATAAATCAATATGTGAGGAATCAAGGAATTGAAGTAAGGAAACGTAAGTAATGATGGTTGATTACATTAGGTTTTAGATGAGCTTATGACCGATGACTATTTCCTAAAATAAATATGTCGGGAGTAGGGTGTTATAGTTCATGCATTTTTACGCCACATTATATATATATATATATATATTGGAAAAATACTATGATATGGTTGAGTTTTAGATTTGTATTATGGCATATCCATGTGTATACTACTTGCACAAAATTATTATGAATGTTTGAAGTGCAAAGATGAATGCGGAACACACAGGTAAGTTCAGGTGAGTTATGGTATTAGTTGAAAGGATTGAGTTATGGCATAATCACAGTATGTTTTAGGCAACTCCAACATTATCGTACAAGTTGCCTATGAGTTGTATATATCACATGAGATGCATTTAAAGCTCATAAACTTGCACCCCCATGTTAGTGCTCCCGCCCGTGACCAGGACATAGTCATTCACGTGATGTTCACCTCCCGCACCTTAAACTCACCTTGGATCCAAGGTAGGTGCAGAGTCCTGTCGTACAGACCACTATAGTTGGTTCCGACTCGTAGGTGACCCACGATTATTCGCACAGTCTTCACATGATTGTAGCACTTGAGCGTATTTATTTACACCCAGTCTTGTCGTACATACCACTTTAGGTGGTTCTGACTTGTGTGCAAGTATACTTATTGAGCTATGGATAAGTCATACAAGTCATTAGAGGTGACTCCGACTTATGAGCTAGCATATACGATGAGTATGTGATGAGCTAGCATATGTGATGAAATATGTGATGAGCTAGCATATGCAATGAGATATGTGATGAGCTAGCATATATGATGAAATATATGATGAGCTAGCATATATGATGAAATATGTGATGAGCTAGCATATATATAATGAGATATGTGATGAGCTAGCATATATGATGAAATATGTGATGAGCTAGCATATGTGATGAGAAATGGATAAGTCGTACAAGTCACGTGAGGTGACTCCGGCTAGCATGTTGATGAGCTGTTAATTCAGCCGTACAGCCCACTATAGGTGGATCCGGCTAATATGCCATTTCATATTGATCTATTTCACCTGAGTACTTATTCTTATTGAGATATTTGACATTGTATAATTGTGAGACTATTATTTTGGTTATGGTATTGATTTATAGTCATGCCTATTATTCCGGGAAATTATACAGGTATTACGGTGAGGGGCTACTGTTTTTTATAGTTGGAATTTGTTTGAAAAGTTTTGTTTCACTCACTCACATTTTCTATTTTTGTACCCCTCGAGGTTCTAGCAGTAGAGTTCCGTATCGACGAGGATTCGTGGCACTTTTCAGTACATATGTTTTCTTGTGATGGTATGATCATTGTCTCATCTTACTGCACTATACCTATGCTCTGTATCACGCGTGAAATGGGTCCAGATCCGCTCACCGCGCACTCGTGTACTTAGGGACTTTAAGTTTTAATGTATTCACATTTTATACATTATCACACTTTATGGCTTCGTCACCTTCTAGGTGTCGGGCAGCACAGCTTGATTTGGAGTCCTAGTGGATATTCCGGGTCGGGGTGTGTCATAAGGTCTTAGTCAATGAAAATTAGGAACTAGGGACCAGATACTAATTTTTCTCTTATAATTATTGCCAAGATAAGGAGAGGTTCCAAGGCAACCTTGAAAGCGTACACACACAGACACACACACACACATATACATACATACATACATACATACATACATACATACATACATACATATTAGAGACTTGGAAGTAAAGTAACATTTTCTTTTGGAATTCCCTTGCAAGATGCCAAAATGTTTCTTCACTTTTTGGTTATATTGAATTTGAAAGAAAAGGCGAAGGATGTATTCATAGGGCCTCTGACTATAGTAGTAGAAAACCTTGTTTTTTCATTTTATTTTGATTTCCATAAAAAAATTAAAGGGCTTTCCAATAATTATTCTAATTTAGTGGCACCAATTTCCACTTTGATCATGTAGATTGTTAGTTTAAATATTGCAAATGAGATTTTATATACTTCATTAATCAACGAGTGTCTGCTGTGCATGAGATTTAAACTCAAGACTTACAATAAAGTGGAGATTAGATGCTACTAAATTAACGTATCATAATGAATTTTGTTATCTCTAATTAGCGATTTAAATATATCATTAATGATCCTTGCATCCTGTATTCTGCATAAGAAGTGGTGGGTGATCCCGCTAGACTGACAAAATTAAATATGACGATAACAGTACACAAATTTTGTTTCATGAAGGGTTTGTATCTGGCCTTATCAAGTCAGATATGTAACAAGTTGACTTGATAAGAATACATTTCTTTCTTAATTGGTCGGATTCTTGATTATTCACGACATTTAACACTCCAGTACACGTGTTTATAAATGTTGCATAATGCGGTATATTTAAAATTTTATATCCTATTAACAAAATAAAAAAATTAATGAGTAAAATTGACAAATACCATAAGATTAAATTTATGAACAAATTGATCTTTTCTAGCCCATTGTGAAGTTAATCCTACCCCCTCCCCTTAATTGTAGAGAATATTGTTTGTTAAGAGGTTGAATTTGTGGTGGGAATATTTTCACCTGACACGAGTACGATAAAACACAAAACGTCGCTGAACAATCTTTTTCCTGAAAAATGTGATGACAGAACAGTGACCCAATCAAGAAAGGCCCATATTTTACAAAAAATAAAAAAATAAAAAGGCCCAGAGTGAATAATGGGTCTGAAGGCCCGAGTGTTGACGATTAATATCTAAAATGATAAGGAAACTAATGAAAAGAATTTGAAACTTTGAGTTTTAACGATAAGGACAAAATAAAAGGTAAAATAAATAGTATTAGAATTAATTTTTTAATGTAAAAATATGATTTTTCGTTAAAATAAATAGTACTGTAACTTTTCGTTATAGTTCCTAAAATTCTAATGCAGCAAAATTAGAATCAAAGAAAATAAAAATTGCCGTTTCGTCAAATCTTGTCGCAGCCAAAAACCCTAAACCCTTTGAGAGCACAGACAGAGGAAGATGGGAAATACAAGCAAAGACCTTCTGCAATTCGAGCACAAAAGGGCTTCAACTTCACCTTTAGGTCTCTCTCTCTCTCTCTCTCTCACGCGCGCTCGCTTTCTGTGGAAACTCATGTAGCTTACTCTGGGTGTATTCTCTTGCAGAAAGCACGCTACTTGTCTGTAAAAATGCCTCAACGAAGAAAGCTCAACCCGAAGGGAAACCCGGCCCTGCTCTTCCTCTTCCCAAAAGCCAAGGTTCTCGATTTTTTCCCATTTAAATTTGGGTTTTTTTTTTTTTTTTTTTTCAATTGTGAAAACTTCAATTTAAAGGAATTTGAATTGTGGGTTCTTGGTAAGAGATTAAATCTGAGATCGATTTGATATGATGGGCACATATATGAATGTTTTTATTTTCCAGCTGGTAATTTTCTATGTTGGTTTCTACTTGGCCGGCTAAATAATGTTTAATTCTCAAATGGGTCTATAATTTGGTGATGGATGCTTAATTTCTTTTATACAAGGTCTCGATGCTAATCAGTTAATCAGCATAATGCCTGTGCTGCTTGTCTTCTTTTTACATTTCCCCCATTTATATTTTGTTTTGGAACTTGCTAAGTTACTAAGTTGTAGTGGTTTGAGTTATAACTTAGAAGGGTGTGACTCAAGTCTCCTGTCATTGGGCTCGTCTCATCCTTCATAAACCTGCGCTGAAATTTCATAGTTTAATTCGACGAGATGGGATTATTTTTGTGCTGTTTATCTTTTCTTGGCCCCTGGTGTTATTATTTTCTTCCTCTTTTGGTTCGTTGGCAAGAATCTTGCTTGAGATAGAGGGTAGTAAGTACTTCATTGTCGGCTTGAGATTGGCTTCAAATCTCTGTTCATGTCTATCCACTACAATCAATTACATACCTTACCTTGGAATTCTGTTTCTCATACATTGTTTCCGTATTCATATTTTTCCGGTTCAGTAGAGAATTTCTACCTTTACATGTCAATTAGTTTTTCGTTCTCTCTTTCATTAGAGAACTTGCTTTACTTAGTTCTAGCTGAATTTTCTCAAATGTTTAGTAGTCAATGTGATGCTTTATACGCTAGCTGATGATTGTGTATGTCGTGAAGGGGTCATAACAATGGTTTAGCGTTGAGAAAAATCAAATGTGTGGCATGTGTGGCATGATCTCAGGTTAGAGGATTTCTGCAATTGGGCAAGCCTATGCCCCAAGTATTTAGTTGTTTTAGGCAACTGAAGTCTTCATTGATGATCAGGAATGGTGACGATAGAAATTTGAAATAGATTAGAGAATGTTGTAGTATCAAATCTGAGGCTGAAGAGACGGATGTTCTAAACTGTTTTGCCTTGCCCCCTTTTTTTTTTTAGCTCAAACAGAAGTTTTCAATTTATCATGTACTTGAGATTCTCTGCTTCTGTTTTATTTGTAGTGTTGTTTTGTTAGAAGTGCCTTGCAAAATTTTGTTCACAGTATTTGCTTGCTTGGGCTGTGCAGTTTTGGGACTAGTAAGGGACTTCTTGGGAGTCATATCAGAAGCTAACGAACGACTAAAGCAGGATGCAAAGGTTGGCATATTGATCTTGCAACCAAATCTAGATTGTTTATCCCGATTCTAACATCCTTTAAAACACCTAACCTGTGTTTTCTCATTTACTGATATGTAGGATAATCCAGAAAACTACGATATTGAAGTGCTCACTGGAAATGAATCTCAAGTCGTTAATATGGTCCCTATCTCTCTTTCGCTCTTGCTCTTGCGTATGCACACACATACACATACACGCTCACAGATTATTGATCCCCTTGGATAATAACTGATTTGTGGGTGGATCTGAATTGACAGGAGTTGATGCTGGGCGTTGCTGATCTTCAAACTCCTGAGGCTGTGGCTGCTGCTGAATCTGCAATTGTTGGTTGTCAGCCTGTTATACCATTGGCCATCAACAGTAGCGGAGAGGAATCAGAGGATAGCAGTGATGGTGACAGCAGCAGCGATGATAGTGACGACGAAGATGGTTCCGATGATAGTAGCAGCAATGATAATGACGACGAAGATAGTGATGAAATCAAAGATGATACAATTGATAAAGAGGATAAGAAAACAACCTCTCATGCAAGGCTCAAAACACGCAAGTCGGATAAAGATAATTCTATGAGTGATGATGCTGGTAACAATCGGTCCCAAAAACGACCGAAAATTGTTGAGCTCTCACGAAAGTCTTGTGAGATCTAGTCATATATAGAGTTAATGTTTATGGAACTATCAATTTATTGTAATAGTTGGGCAGTTCTTAAGACTTCCACACAGTGAGAAGGGCATATGATGAATGATTCTGGGAGACTCTGGAAGAGACAACGAGTTGTATGAAGAGTACAAAATATCATTATATCGTTAATGTGATTTCGTATGTAATTTCACGGTTTCACCCAAATCATTCTAAGTACGATGTTTGTCGATGAATTTTATGATGAAAGGTAATTGTTCTGCAAATTTATCAGTTCTGCTAAGTTCTTCTGCCACTCAAACTGTATACAGTTCGAGGTGAATCTATGATTGTAACTTCTTCTAACATCGAATGAACAACGCTTAAAATGTAGAAGAAAATCCTTTGGCAACATTGTCATGCATTTGGTACATACCACATAGAGGAAACTTAAAATTTAAGTTACAAAGGCAATTACATCGACATCTCTAGGATGACACCACATCGGGCCGGAGTCGGATTTGCCCTGCCATATCCGGCTCCACAAAAATTTTGCCATCCCTATCCCCGTCCCCATAAACAAAGGGATTTAGTTGTAAATATTTTTTTTTTGTACAAGCGATAATGTGGTTCAAATTCACTTTTCACGAAAATAGAACCTAATACCTCTCACTTACAAGTGAAGAGGAATACCACTAGACCGTAGTATTAGATATGAATAACAAAGAATTCAAGCATTATGTATAGAGGAAATTATAGTAATGGTCCCTCAACTCTTAATGCAATTGGAGTAACGGTCCCTCAATTAAAATCCATAACTATTAGTTCCTTAACTCATCAAAACATGCAATTGTGGTCCTTCTTGTCAAATTGGTTAGAACTTTCGTCAAAATGAGTTACATGTCATGCACGTGAGGCTGAATCAAGAGTTAATATGGAAAACCAATTGGAGAAATAGTCCCTCAATTTTAATCCAATTGGAGTAATGGTCTCTCAACTTTAACCCAATTGTAGCGATGATCCTTCCAACATGACTTATTTTGATGAAATTTTGACAGAGTTGACGAAAAAGACCATAGCTGCACGTTTTGATGAGTTAAGGGACCAATGATTATGAATTTTTAGTTGAGTGACTATTGCTTCGTTTAGGTTAAAGTTGAAGGACTATTGCTACAATTTTATCTTATATATATAAAAGAAAGCTTACCCCTCTATATTAGTCATATATCTTGCTTACCTACCAACAACTACAAGACCAAGCAATTTAAATTAAAAAGGTACAAGACAACCATTATTTTATGTCCTTTAAAATGGGCCGGCCACACCCTATGTCAAATATGTAAGGCCCTAGCCCATCTCATGGGCCGAGAAAATTTAGGCCTATCAGCGGGCCCCTAAACTCTGATCTTTTGGCCTTTCAATAATTTAAATAAAAAATAGTAATAAGACCTTAAGACGCAAAGTTCAGACCTTACACATTTAAAATAGAGAACTTTAACGAAAAACATCCGGTACTGTTCACTTTAACGAAAAACCACATTTTTACACTAAAAAGTCAATCCTGATACTATTCACTTTACCCTTTATTTTGTCCTTATCATTAAAACTCAAAGTTTTCAAGCCCTTTTTATTAGTTTTCCTTTTAAAATAGGGCCAGATAAAGCTCGACCTAAGACTGGATCGGGCCAACCCATCGGGCCTCGGTCTTATTTTACCGGCATAGTTTTTTGGGAACTTTAACGAAAAGCACCCGGTACTGTTCACTTTAACGAAAAACCACATTTTTACACTAAAAAGTCAATCCTGGTACTATTCACTTTACCCTTTATTTTGTCCTTATCATTAAAACTCAAAATTTTCAAGCCATTTTCATTAGTTTTCCTTAGTTTTTTAACCTTTAAAAAGAAATGAAATTACATAAATACCCTTGGTAACCAAAAGCAAACAGTGCACCGTCTCTTATTTCATCAAAAGCCTCAAAGGATTAATCCTTATATTCTTTTTTGTGGTTTGATCATAACTAATTAGTAGCCATGCATGCATCCATGGATCTGGGCTTATTAGCTGCTAATTATCATAAGAGTAAACAAAATTCAAAGATTTTGTGGTTTGGTCATAAAAAAATTGACTGTTAGATCGTTGTAATACATTACGGAGGTAAGCCTCACAAAAATAGTGTTTCAAATAGAAGTCAAAATCGCGTATCCCTGAATCTTAACCAGAAATATTATAATACACGTATTTATTTAATTTTATTAATAGTCTCTAAAGTATCAAATTATGTCATTCTCTTATATTATAACATGTGAATTAATAACATTATATACTCACTAAAAGCAAATTTGAACCATGTTATTGCTAGTTTATTGTGAGGTTTAGCCCACTCCTCTACCCCTTGAGTAGAAATGATATCGTTTGTCAAAAAATAACACTATATATTGATGGTACCAGGATCACCCCAAATATTTGTTTTTAGAAAGGGATATCTATGTGGTTATCCACTTAACTAAACTTTGGTATAATTAACCGAACTCCAATTTTTTTTTCCTAGTCCCTGTGGTGACACAGTACTTTCAATGTGAACCTCGTGATGAAAAAGTTTTTAATTAAACTCTTGTGGTGGGCCTTGTTAGCAATTGAGGTCCAATCCTTCGTTAGTCTTCTGTTAAATAAACTCACGTGACTATCACATGGAGGGTCAATTTTGTCATTTAAATCCAAATTACATCATATTCCATGAACATCTAGTATGAGTTAGGGTTTAACTAAAATTAGATTTTACCAAAAAAAAAAAAAAAAAAAAAAAGGTTGAACGCAAAGAGTGAAACTAAACCTGTAAAACCACATCAATGGAGAATTTGCAAAGAAAGAAGAGAGGGAGAAGTTGCAAAGAAAGAAGATGTTGGAGGAGCAAGGGAGGTTAAGTAACTTAATAGAGAATTGGGGAAGCTTTTGAGTGGGTTTCCAGTGAGGGATGTCGAGTTTGTATGTGAGCGATGTTTGTTGTAGCCTAGGTTTGTGAGACAGAGAAGATGGGATGTTTGTGAGGGATGTGGGGATGCAAGGTTTGCACCATGTCCAGAGAAAGAAGAAGGGAGAGATATTGAAGAGAGAGAGAAGTCAGGTGGCATCATTTCCTAACAGCCTTGCACTACAAACCGACGTAGCCGAAGTTTAAAAAACAAATCGATGCTGCCGATTAATCGATCTATAACAATTGGTTGCCATGACAAAATCTTAATTCTTCATTCACTCATTTGGGATTTTATTTTCTATATGGGTGCAAAAATGAATTTATATATTGAATCGGATTTGTGAGAGTAGTTTAGGTAGTAAATTTGAGTTTAAAGAGATATTGAATTTTTAATTAAAAATAATGTGGATGTAAAGAGTAAGGTGTAAAAAAGGTTATATAGTTCAAATAAAATTTCCCTTAAGATAGGCTAGTGTTTCCTGTTTGGTTTTAGACTTTTATAATTGGGGTTGAAATTGCGCTAGGATTTTGTTAAATTAGACTAATATTTTACTTTGAATTTGGATTAAAAAATGAATACCCAAAATAAATAAATAAATAATTAAATTAATATACATTTAATTCGGTTTGGTTCAATTTTCAAACTATTGAAACCAAAATCGAACAAGAAGAATTCGGTTTGGTTTGGGTTTTTTAATGTGGTTCCTATTTTTGCTTCGGTTGGGTGTTTCAATTTGGTTTTTTTTGTTTTTTTTAACCCTTTTCGGCTTCAGATTATTATGGAAAAGCATGTGGAGTGTATTAAGATAATTTTTAATTGAAAAAGTCCAAATCTTACAGTTGCCAAGTCCAAATCTTATAGATGACAAGTTAAAATCTAACTCCACCAAGATTGTTGATTTGTTTAAAATATTGTTATTAAAAAATTCTTTTGGACAACCAATCTAGTTGATTAAGACAAGATTTAAAATCTGATACTCTGAAGCACTATACAATTCTTTTTATAAAAGATATAAATTGAAGGTGGAGGAATAAATTGGTTATAAACATATCATTTACAAGATTTAAACTTGCCTCTATTACATTATTTAACCATAAAACATGTAGAGAAACACCAAAACTTGGCCTAAATTGTCCCCGCGTGCGCAAGTAAGTGTGAAATCCTGCAATTGAGTTTCATTATTCAATTTTCGCGTTTCATATTTACATGATTTTATTTTAGTTTCTTTAAATTGGATCTTTGGTTGGTAAGTTAAAGTTTGATTTTATGTAGTTAGCCAATAAAAATCTGTAACTTTTAGGGGGTCACTTTTGGACTTGTTGGATAAAGCTCGATCTCATGAGCGTGAAGGCGAAAAACCGTTTGCAAAATGAAGTTTTAACGAAGAAGATATAAGATCGTCTATCATAAAAAACCCGACCGATTTGGAACAGGGCTTATTATTTTTAGAAGAGTAAACTGTCGGTTTATCCCCTGAACTTTCACCTCACTTTCGATTTCCCCCCTGAACTTTTCCATTGGAAAATTAAGGACTCAAACTAATTTTTTTAGCCAATTTGCCCCCTACCGTTAGTTTTTCATATATTCCATCCATATTTCCGTTAAGTGAGACCATGTGCACAACATGTGAGGGTAGTTAAGTTATTTCACTCTTAAAAATGATTAAAAAACTGAAAATAATAAAAAAAGCAAAACTTTCCCTCTATTTTTTCCCGCTAATTCCTATCCTCGATTTTATTTTTCCCTCTCATTCCTATGCATGAGAAATGACATATGGTGTTATTGTCTACCATTTTTATTTTCTCTAACAAATTAATAATTTGACAAATGCTAATGGTGCTATTGTCTCCAAAGCAGTGCATTAATATAAGAAACCCTAGTCTTTTTTATGGACATGTTTCTTATATTAATGCATTGCTTTGGAGACAATAACACCATTAGCATTTGCCAAATTATTAATTTGTTAGAGAAAATAAAAATGGTAGTACATGCTTCAAAAAAAAGATTAACTTAGCTACTTATGAAGACAATAACACCATATGTTATTTCTCATGCATAGGAATGAGAGGGAAAATTAAAATTGAGGATAGGAATTAGCGGGATAAAATAGAGGGAAAATTATTATTATTATTTATTTTCAGTTTTTAATCATTTTTAAATTGAAATGACTTAACTATCCTCACATATTATGCACATGGTCTCACTTAACGGAAATATGGATGGAATATGAAAAACTAACGGTAGGGGGCAAATTGGCTAAAAAAATTAGTTTGAGTCCTTAATTTTCCAATAGAAAAGTTCAGGGGGGAAATCGAAAGTGAGGTGAAAGTTCAGGGGGTAAACCGACAGTTTACCCTTTTTAGAAACCCAGCTAGTGAGTTAACCCGTTGACTAGGTTTCACTGCCCCAATTCGCTAGGCAAAATTTCAACACGTTTTCGACGTGATGTGACAGTTTCAGCAACGCCATCACTTGGGTATTCCCTTCAACACCACAAACAAAAGCCACCAAACTTCACCATGATCGACTATCAAGCTTGAAAATTCTGAGTTTTGGTGGTTTGCGATCTAGCCCTTTCTATTGTAAATGTCGGCGACCACCACCATTATCGAGAAGCCTTCGACATCTAGAGAAAAGCCCTAGCTTTGGATTGGATGTTAGTGCAGCAGTGGCGCAATGAGGTTCCTGACTACCCATGGCTTTTTCGACTAATTTTGCCTTTTTTCATCCCAACCAACCTCCAACAAAGGTATAAAACTTACTCCCCTTGTTGTAAGCTACGTTTTGGAATTGACTGGATTCTGGCAAAGGTTGGTTGGCGCACCGTCGTGTATGGCGTGCGTGGCATGATGACCTAGTTTGTCTCCGTAAGCTAAATTTGATGTCCTGAACCCTTTTCCAATGTTCGTTTGACAAGATTTGATCATTTGAACATAATTCAATAATTGACTGCCACTTGACCTTTGTTGTAGGTGTTGATCCGACAGTTGGATCATTATGGAACTATAGTATATGTTGTTGTTGAAGTAATGTACTGATGCTCTAAAGAACTTATAGATCTGAAATCTAAGGTGCGGATCCATCATATTGGAATATTTATGTTATTGACCTTAGCATGAACCATTTTGATCGGAGGTTAACTTTTGGTCAACATGTCCCTAATCATTCTAGAATATTGAAGTTAGCATTATTAGATAGCTGATATAGCCTAGTGGGCCTACCTTGGTTTGTGTGCCATCCTGGGTGATGTGCATCTTAGGTGCAAGTGGCACCTTACCTTCATTTAAGTGTTTGTTGGGTTTCTCGATGAATGTATTCTATAAATAATAAGCTAAATAATGTTTGTATACTTCGATAAGTTTTGACTGACTTCTGGGCCTTAAGTTGGCGTGCTTTCGAGATTGCCTTTGCATTGGACATGAGGTGAGTAGTTTGTTTACTGTCTTTATATAGAATACCAAAATGCGTATATGCCTCAATGTATGTCCTATTGAAGTTAGCATTGCTATGTAATATGACATAGAGATAAAGATACTGGTAATTAGAATTTTTAATATAACTAGTAATTAAGGGAATCCTTTGTGATGTTCTTTGTATGACGAGATGCTTGGTTGACATGTTGAACCGATAGTGGATGTGATTATTATGTAAATCATGTTGGGTTGATGTATGGTGTATGACGAGTGATAATGTGACTGCATCATGTAGCAGTATGGTGCATGGATGGTCCTACTTGGTTAATTCGCATTGGGGGACCATGCAATTATAAGCATGCCTATGGTTTTGCTTGGTTAATTTGCATTGGGAAACCATAAGCATCTAAAAGTGATCATCCTTGGTAAATCGGCAATTGGTGACCACTTCCAAGTTAGATTCCATTGAATTGGTCTGGAATATTACTTCATATATGGTTTTTTTTTATTTGGTCTGAAAACCCTATATTCTGTTATAGAGTTGAAACTTATCGTGCAACCAGATATAAAGTAAGATCTAAACCTTATAACAATTCCTTTCGAATTACTTTCTTGTAATCCGATAATAAAGGCAATCGACGGTACAAAGATTTCCAGACCAATTCAATGGAATCCAAGGTTTGCAGACCAACTCTGTTATAGAGTTCCAGCCCTTGTGAAACCAGACCTGGATTTTTTTTCCTTCCTCCCCATTTATTTATCAGTTATAAAGTTGAAACTTATGGTAAAGTGGTGCAGTGAGGGTCACAGTATCAACGGACAACTCTTTGCGGAGCAAAAATTGACCGCAAATCCAATAATTTTCTATTGAAAGAAGAGTCCTTTTGAATTTTGATTTCCTGTAATTATGGCCTTCCCATGTTAAAGTCTAATGTAAAAAAAATCTGAATAAGATGACTTCACAATGTTATAAATATTATACGGTCTAGTGGTATTCATTTTCATTTGTAAGTGAGAGGTTTTAAGTTTGATTTTCATCAAAGGTGAATTTGAACTACATTATTGCTAGTCCACTATGAGGCTAAGCCTTCACTCTCTCCGTTAGTGTAGATAATATCGTTTGTTCCAAAAATAAAAAAGACGCTACATATTTTTTTCCTGAAAAAAATGTCTTAACTATTTAAAATTGGATAATTTACCTTTAAAGTGTATCACATAAAAGTTTTTGAAGTGTAAATTGTTTCTGGTTATTTAATTTAAGTTGCAATGGTCTACTTAAGTCAATAGATTCAAATGTAGGGGTCTCGATTCAATCCATCTATGTGACTTTAGGTTGTAGCCAAGTGTCATGCCATTATTGATGACCGTGTGTATGGCTTAGATTGGATTTAGCGCAAAGGTGTAAGAGAATGTTTTGCTAATTTGCGCTCTGCAATGAATTGAGCTGCACCTTTCCTTACACAGAAATATACAAAACGTTCTTCGTTCTTTGAGTTTTTCTTCAGTCTTATTTCCCAATCCGTAACTTAAAAAAACAACATCAAATACTAAAAACCAACACAAGTCACGTAATTTAAATTGAAATAAAACTAAATAGCTTACAATCTAGTAGAAGGGAAGAATTTGGAGGTTTTAATGAACTTAAGGACATTTGTTTGAAAAAATATCATTAAGGAACTTAATTTTTTAAATGGTAGGATTATGAGAGATATGTTGAAAAGTGTGTAATTAAGGAAATGAACTCAAATAAAAACTAAAAATTATTTTTAACTTGTATTTATTTTGAAGATTTTGTTTTTGTTCATTTTTCTTTGTTTCCTTCATTCCCTTCCACCAGTATTCTTCATCCCTCATTTTCGCCTCCACTCTTCTTCATCCCACATTTCCTCCAAATAATTTCTCCATAACTCAAACACATAAAAATGAAAACTAAAAATAGAAAACATTTTGATTATCTCACAAATATGATCTCACATTTACACCGTATAATTTCCCTTTATATTTATGGAATAATTATTAGCACTTAAAAGTCATTATGCACTCTTTAAATATATAGATTTGACAAACCTGCGTTATATCTATCAAAGACAAGGAGCAAGAAATAATTGCTTGGTCAAAAGCCAGTAATTTCTTTCTAATTAATATGTGTAGTAGATTACCAAGAGAAATTTACCACAAACATTCATCGTTTCAGCAAAATAATGTAAATTAGGGTTTTCTTGGTTGAGGCAATAGTAGGACTTCAAGCTAGGCAAGTAATTATGCAACTTTGATCGTAGCATGCATGTCTTACTAGCAAGTTACCAAAATTTATTTTAAATAAAAAAGAGTGAATTCTTGATCAATTGAAATTTACCGTCCACCATGCCAGTGGAAGGTATATACAAAGGATCGATCATCACTTATTTATTCATTTTCTTTATTCTTAATAACCTACTTATCTTCTTAGATATATCCATCAGCAAAAATTGCTAGAGTGGTTGTTGTTCTTCCATAGCTAGTAAGGCTTCTCCCCAACATAGTTGCCTGGGGGATCATAGTTGCATCCAATGAAGGTACCCCCACTGCTGCACCTCACTTTTGCGCACCCTACACGAGCCGACTTACGCCAAACCACCTGTGTATAATGCCCACACACCTTTCCAGCAGCACACGAGTTCGACTTATAACTGTAGTCGGCTTTCTCCTTCACCCACAGGTCCACAGCCGCTGTTCCCGACAGGTCACCAGTGCTCATGGCAAGGTTTTCGCCGTATGGCCCCTTGGAGTGCACAAGCTTACAGTCGCCAACACGTTGATTGGCGTAGTTTTGTGCATAGCGTGCTACATTGTCATCCCACGTCAAGGGACCAACGCCTACTGCTGCTCGAGCGGCGTTGTGGGAATTGAGGTAGTCTTGGCGTGTGTCTTGGGCATGAGAGGATTGTATTAGGGCTGAGCCTAAAATGAAAAGGAGAGCTAGGGAAATATTGCACAACCCCATTTTAACGGTTTGTTCTCTTTGTGGATGGGCAAATGAGATGTTATGCTGCGGAATATTTATAATAGCGGGGAACGGTAAATGTTGATATTACGAGCTCTGAGAAATTGAGGATGTGGAAATTTATTTGCATGACCATCAAAGTTGAACGTTCACATTGCATCAAGGTTCTAAAAGTTACTAGGCGCTAGTCGGACGGCGGGCTGGGGCCTAGCGCTTAGGCAGTTAGGCGGGGCCTAGGCGGATTTAAGTAAATCTATCATATTTCAGGTAAATAAGTGTCTGCTTCTACTTGAAATATATATAATTTCATCATAAACTACAAAATAGAATGCATATATATCATGAAGTATTGGAACATAATGAAAACATATGAAATAATGATATAATGTTTGTTCATTCAAGTATGCAACAAGTCTCTTACAATTTATTGGAAAAAAACAAAATGCAAAATGAAAGTTATGTATTTTCTGTCTAAGTGAGTTGCAACCTAGACTGGTCTAGGCGGGTGCCTAGGCATTAATCGGGGCGGTGGGCTGGGGCCTAGGCATTAATCGGGGCGGTGGGCTAGGGCCTAGCGCCTAGGCGGGGATTTTTAGAATAGTGCATTGCATTATCAACTGAAGAAACCAAACCGTCGCCGAACTGATAACAAAACCCTACTTCTATATTTCTTTACTTACAACGGCTTACTTTTACAAGTAAAATTTATGAGAGGATTAACTTTTTCTAGTACTACAAACGATATTCTACATAGTCTAGACAAGGATGGAGATAGTTTGAACTAGGAAAGAGGATATGAACTACTATGACAATCTACCACTTGCATGAGAAGTACGAAGATTAGTCAAACTTTCTCGAGGTAATTAAATTGTCAGTATAACAAAAATAAGCAATCGTAACACCAAAAACGTGGCTACTGCTGGGGTAACAATAATATCGATCACTGACCTAGATATTATGTTGCTATGTAATACTTTAATTTCCCGATATTTGTTAACACAATTAACAATCCCTTGAAACCTTTGAAATTCATGTTGATAATGCAACATTGGAACAAATTGGAACTAATTGCTTTGGTAAATAAGCAGATCTGCTTCTTCTTCTAATTACGTTTGTCATATCTGTTTATTTCTCTTTTAGAAAGGTATATGATCGATGCATGTAGGAAACGTATATGTTCATCTGTTGAAGGAAAGGTCTACTAAGCCTTCCCTCAATTTCGGGGAACAAATTGATTATCATAATTGTTGGATTCAAGTATGCAGTAAACTTTGAAAAAGAAAATGTGGAAAAGCGTATTCTATGCACTGTTGCAATACGTGTGGTATACGGGTCTTCTCCGAAGTTTTATTTTCTTGAAACAAATATGTTTTGGATGTGGAAGTCTAACTAAACTACACAATCACCTAACCATAAATTTGGCATTATTTATGGTTTTGAACTCCTCTTTAGGAAAACTGAATTTAAGACTTTCAACTTACAAGTTAGGAAAAAATGAATACTACTATATTGTAGTAGTAGAGGTATGAGTCTTCTTTCAATTAAAATAAAATAGAATATTATGAACCTCTCATTTTTTTCCCCTAACATTATAGAAGAGAATAATTGAGTTAAGTCACACAATTGTTAGGGTTCAAGATTTTTGTATATGAATTTCGCTGTAGTAATTGAGAGAACAAGGGACTGCATTTTTTGAGGATGAAAGATGTAGTTGCAGAGAGAATGTTTGAAGGACTGTATAAGATGCAATCCATTACCAATCCTTTCATATATTTTATAATATACATAATTTAAAATTGTTAAATTATTTTATCTCATTATATTATAACATGGGAATAAATAACATCATATTACCCTTAATACTGTGTTCAAAAGGGATATCTGTTGTACGTGGTTTAGTGTTATCCGCGAATGTTCTCAACGCAAGACTTTTACCCTAATTGTGATGGCATTATTAGCATTAGCATACTTTTGGGCATAAAGGATACTACGTCAGCATCCTACGTCAACTTTGGTAGCATTGAGACGCACGAAAATGTGGAACACGATGGCCTGCATGTATAGGGATATAGTGTGGAAAAGTTGCTTTGTTGAAGTCCACATAATTTTTTTTAAATTAAAAAAAAAAAAAATTGGAACCATGTATGTCTTTGGTCCCGACGAAAGTGTAGGAAACTATGACCTGTCTATATTGGGAAGTGTGGAAAATATGGGACACGGACCCCTCTTCCCTTTAAATTATTGTACTAATTTTGAATCATTCATCCTACCCGAGGTATAAAATATAGATACAACAACAACAACAAAGCCTTTTCCCACTAAGTGGGGTCGGCTATATGAATCCTAGAACACCATTGCGCTCGGTTTTGTGTCATGTCCTCCGTTAGATCCAAGTACTCTAAGTCTTTTCTTAGGGTCTCTTCCAAAGTTTTCCTAGGTCTTCCTCTACCCCTTTGGCCCCGAACCTCTGTTCCGTAGTCACATCTTCGAACCGGAGCGTCAGTAGGCCTTCTTTGCACATGTCCAAACCACCGTAACCGATTTTCTCTCATCTTTCCTTCAACTTCGGCTACTCCTACTTTACCTCGGATATCCTCATTCACAATCTTATCCTTTCTCGTGTGCCCACACATCCCACGAAGCATCCTTATCTCCGCTACACCCATTTTGTGTACGTGTTGATGCTTCACCGCCCAACATTCTGTGCCATACAACATCGCTGGCCTTATTGCCGTCCTATAAAATTTTCCCTTGAGCTTCAGTGACCTACGACGGTCACACAACACGCCGGATGCACTCTTACACTTCATCCATCCCGCTTGTATTCTATGGTTGAGATCTCCATCTAATTCTCCGTTCTCTTGCAAGATAGATCCTAGGTAGCGAAAACGGTCGCTTTTTGTGATCTTCGCTTGATTGCTCCGGTCATTAGTGTGGATAAGTATATAAATGGATAGAGATAGGAAAGCAAACACCAGATGTACGTGGTTCACCCATATTGGCTACGTCCACGAAATAGAGGAGTTCTCATTAATTGTGAAGGGTTTACACAAGTACATAGGTTCAAGCTCTCTTTTAGTGAGTACAAGTGAATGATTTAGTACAAATGACATTAGGAAATATTGTGGGAGAATGATCTCGTAATCACGAAACTTCTAAGTTCCGGAGTGTGGTATCGTCTTGACTTGCCTTATCTGTCTCATAGGTAGATGTGGCATATTCTCTGGAAGTACTCTTCCTCCATCCAGGGGTGGTATCTTTAACTGGTGGAGATGCACAAGGTAATGTATCAATTTCACTTGAAGCTTACTTGTAGTTTCAGGCTTGGTCAAGCGCGATACAAACCATGTAGTAGGAGTCCTCCAAGTCGCCGAGCTAGGGGATCTGCTGAAAGAGGTGACAGACAAGGTAAGCAATCAGAGCTCCAAGCAATCAGTCCCAGATCAGAACTTTGATTTCGAGTTCCGGCTGATTGTTCACATTCTCCCTATCTTGCAGGCAGCATGAAGGATAAAGAGAAGAAAAATGAGAAGAGATGATATGGGATACTTTTGCTTTTGAAGAAGTAACTTTCCACAGGCTTATTCTTGAACTGGGCTGGAGGGTTTTCTGGTTTCCTCCAGAGTATAAGGCCGACTGAAGAATTTGAGGGTCAAAACAAGTCCATCAAATCTATAGTACGTTCGACCCTGCTGATATGGGATACTTTTGCTTTTGACAGAGTAGTGGATGTATCGGCACGTGTGCTGTTACGCTTGTCTCCACATGCTTCCTTGTATCCTTCTCTCACTTGCCCTATATGTTCCTCAGGCAGATGCGGTATCTTCCCTGGAAGCATAAGATGTTGAAGATGAGTACTCGAGAGCAATGCCAGGTAAGTAATCAAGTAAGGGGTTCCAGGCAGTCAGTTCCTGACTGGAAGCTTGATTCCAAGTGCTGACTGATTGCTCTCTTTCTCCTTGTCTTGCAGGTAAGAACAAGGCCAAAGGAAAAGACAGGGAAAAAACATGATATGGGATACTCTTGCTTTTAACCCTGATGATATGAGATATTCTTGCTCTAGTATAGCTTGTTTGCAGAGGTATTATCGGGGGGGGGGGGAAAGAAAGCTGAATATTTCGAAAGGCTTCTTTGGGAGTGCCCTCTCAGATATGAGGAAGGGTTGAGCATTTTTGCAGGTCTGCCTGTCTGTTGGGGATGGAGGTCAACATATATAGGAGTCTCCCTAACAACAAGTAGTAATGCTATTCCTTTACCCTGCTTGGTCATAACACGGTAGTGGGAGCTGCCAGCTTCACATGTTTTAACTCTGTCAGAGCACTTTGAAAAAGTGGTCTGTGGTATCTGGAAAGCTGATGTTGCGTGTAAAGATTACAGACAAGCTTTATCCAAGGAGATCCGGCTCTTGAAGTTGGGAAAGTGGTGCCTCTTCGGTTTTTCGAACAAGCAATCCTGTCGGAGATCTGGCTCTCGAGATTCGGAGAACGATGCCTTTTCGATTTTTGAGAAAGCAATCCTGCTAGGGGTCTGGCTCTCGAGATTCGGAGAGAGCGGTGTCTCTTCGATTTTTGAGAAAGTAATCATGTTGGGAGTCTGGCTCTCGAGATTCGGAAGGGCGGTGCCTCTTCGATTTTGGAGCAAGCAATCTTGTTGGGAGTGTTTTCTCGAATGTGAGAAAAGGTTGGGCATGTTTGCTAGTCTATCTTGCCACGAAGCACAGAGGTTGACACACAGGGACTTTCCAATTATCCAGCAGTGGTACTGTTCCTTTACCCTTGTGGGTAATAATATGGTAGCTAGACCTTCAAAATTTATGTGTCTAAACTTTGTTAGTGCTGTTTCTTTGCTATTCTTTTACCCTTCTTGGTCAGAGCGGTGTAGTGGGAGCTGCAAGCTTCACGTGTCTCAACTTTGTCAGAGAACTTTGGCAAAGTTATCTGTGGTACCCATGAGCTAATGTTGCGTGTGGGAAGTGGGTGATTGAACAGTAAGATTCATGTGCTTTCTACTTCACCAGAAATCTTCGACATAATGCCCATAATT